GGGTTTTTATTTACTTTGTGTAACTTCAATACTGCTTTTACCCATGACATTAATTACATACTATCGTAGTTCAATATCAAAACAATAAGAGCGCTGGTACTCGGCAACTTTCAATACCGATATTTTCGATATTTTTGAATGCAATTACAATGTTGATCACTCAACATCTGTGTTGTGCAATCGCTATCGTTAGTTGGAGTTATAGACTACCGGCGCCTACAAGGCGTATGTCACCGAGTCAAGCCAAAAATATTAACCATTATTTATTTCACATATAAACAGTTTGAAATCGATACAAATTTCTTTTTCATTGATATTGATTCATTATAGTATTATACATATTTTATGAATAACAATCGTAAGTCGATATGGATATTGTCTTATTTGTACACTTAAAGCAATATTACATTGTTAATTATTTACTATTGCTTAGTTATAATACTCTTCCTAATTGCAATTTATGTATTTAATCTATTTCGTCAAATGCTTAGAACTAAATCTGTATAAATACATTATACCTACATTTTATTATTATATATTTTTTAAATAATAATCAAAATATAAAAAATTCTTAAATTATAATTATTAAAAAAATATAATATTTTTTTTAATAATTACCTTGTTATAAATACGTGTACGTATTTTGATTATTAATTATTTTTAAAGTTGTATAGAAAACATTCAAATATAATTACACAATACTTTAACTTTTTGGAGTAATGACTGATTTCGACTTTTGTTACTATCTATTAATATTAATTCGTCTACTCCCACATTCAGGAAAAACATATCAGTCTTATTTAAGTTTTTAAACTGTTGTATATAATCTCTCTATAACGAATATCTATCGAATCGTACTCTGAAATGAAAAAGACACCAATAATAAGGATAAAGAAATCTTTAATGCACATATCATATTGAATATTTACGTATATGATATATTTTCGAAGCTATATTTTCAAATATTCAGCCACTCCATAGATACAATCTTAATAGCCGATGTATTCAATTTGTGTGTCCGAGATATGATCTAACCTCGTTCATGGAACTCATCACTTTGATACTACACTAAAATGAATAGGCAAAATTTCATTTAGATGATATGTTGCACTAGTTTCTTTCTGTAGCCATCATTTTTATTCCAAAAGTAGCTATGTCTGTATTGTTTTACCCTCTCGAACGTTGAGGCAGAATACGAAGTTCCATCTGATCACGTTGACGCCCGTCGTTACACAACTGAGCGTTTTTTCAAGGCAGTTTTTGCCGCGAACCACCACAATGTAGAATCAGCTATATATGATTTCCGAACTAATTCGATTTATCGTCCTTCAAGAAAAGAGCGCACCAATTCTTAAAAAGGCCGGCAACGCACTCGCGAGCCCTCTGGCATTGAGACTGTCCATGGGCCGCATCAGATTAGCTTCCTGCCCGTCTGTCAATTATCATTTCTCAAGAATATCCAACATAAAATAGTAATTGCGGAGACTCTTCACCTTTATAGTCAGGTTTACGGAACTTCAAATACTTCAAGCCGTTTGGCGAGAAATGAAATGACTGCTTTTGTCTTTCCTTTCGCTCGTCTAACATTTTGTATAAATCCCAGAAAATTAAATGTATTTTGTATAAACAACTCAACCGCTCCCCACTGGTATTCACAGCGTGATACCAACACAAAAAAGCTTTTTCACCAGCTTATAGATATTACTTAATAAAGTTTACTTAAGGCATATCGTATACACAGAGTACGTACTTTGTATTACAATACCCAACATGATAAACGTTTTCCTATAAATATTCCTTCCATAATTTTAAAAGCAAACAAACTCGTTTTAGCCATACAACTTTGGAATATAAGTAAAAAACTTTAATAATACAACAATTTTTGGGTTGAATTGTAATAACTAAACATGTTTGTTTATTATTTTGGGTCAAGGTAAGTCTTACATTGTAAAAATAAAGTCCTTCTCAGCTGTCTTGTAGTGAATATAAGTGCAAGTGCGGTATCTCGGACACACGAACGTAGTGCCAAAACATTAGTTGAAGTTAATTAACCATATTTAAGCTATTTACTAGTGTGGTGGAAAATTAATTCAAAGTAATATTAATTATTAGCCATAATTATTATATAGGCTAGAATCTTATTCATGTTGCAGACTCTCGTGACGTTTCGTGAACTTTATTGTAAGAAAAAAATTATTCCTTTAGATGTAAAACTCAGATATGTTTTTGACTTGAGTCCTACTTAACTCTAAATTTCGTCTTAATTTCAGTTAATAGAAAATGTTCCGAGATTCACTCATATAAACAGGGTAGCAAATCGCAATAATTCTGCCATTATATTGAGTATCCATTAATATAACGTCCGTTTTACGATTTTCTGATACTTATTACTTTACGACCTTGCTACTAATGACCTAACTAATAAATATAGTGGAAAACTTGTTGAACACCAATTTAATACAAGTAAAATTTAGAAAAAGGGGATATTTTTTATATTAAAATGGAAATTAAAATTACATGTAGTTGCGATTTGTATAAGTACTTCTAATTGATTAATAGCCCGTGGCGTGGTAAAATGGAGTTGTTCACAGGATGGAAATTAATATTATTAGTATTATTGAAAGGTTGAAAACCTGCACAGCGTACAGCCGGTGTACTGTAAATGCCCCGTCTTGAGACCCTTAAGAAAAAAGGCATAAGTGTCCTGTGGTGTATGGTTCGATGTAGGAACACTATATCTTATTCGTATAATTATATGAAATAGCTTATTTAACCTTAGTTCTTACCACGAACTTACATCGTTTGAAAAGATCTACAAATTGATGGAAAATGCGTCCGGGCTGCTGAAAGATAACGTTATCGTATTGACGTATACAAAAACTTGAGGAAACATTTGTGAAATTCGGGCTGTCGGCTAATAGTTTTTAGACTTGACTTTACTACACGGGTTTTTAAATTTTTCTTCTCAAGATTACATAATCGCTTCTATAAGATACAGTTTTTACCATATTCTTAACCTACATAGTAATAATAATAATCATAAAACATTGAAAAATAAAAAATTCAAACAAATTTCAATAGTTTTGGCCCTGTCCTATGCTGGCATTACCTCGCTGTATTGCGATACTTAGTTGTTGAACGAGGACAGGACCATCTCTGTGGTCACCGGTACTATCTAACAGGCGCCAATTTAAATCTTTGATTAGTTTCGTGCACTTGAATCCCACGGCCCAAGAGTCTGCTTCAAAGGAAACAAAATAGTTGGAGGAAAGACTCCTCTTTTGAGCCGCTTATTATTTTCTGCCTGCTCTGCGGCCGCACCAGCTTTTGTGCTTGTCCGAGGGTGGTGACACGGGGCTAAAATGTCCACACAATTAGCATACCAAAGCACGTCTCATCCTCCAAGGGATCAAAGACATCGCATCCAGCCGCTTGCTATATGAACTAAAAATCTATATATGTTTCAATGTGTGCAGTGCTTGTGCCTGTGTGTCATATATTGTTAAGACAATATGTATTGCTTGAGCAGTTTTTTACATAGTGCATAACATTGAAACAATAAGCTTCGTATAAATTAACTCGCCTACGTCTTTGAGATGCAATCAAAACATCTGCGTAACAAAACATAAAATTATTAAATCATCAATCGGGTAAATAAAACGAAAATAAAAGGTGTTTGTGATGCCTTAATAGATTTACGAGAGACGGAGTCGTAAAAATCGTGACGTCGTTTTACGAATACCTCCGCCATTTTGGAGCTTGTTGTTATTGAACAAGTTTGAATTTCGAATTACGAGAGGACTACGTGACTTGAGAGTGCGAAGTTGATAATACACAAATTTATATTATACAGGCATTTACAAAAAATTATAATATAATGTGTACTTAGTACTTCGATTAACATACAATGTATAATATTCCAGAGATCCTGGTCAAATTTTCCATAATAAACAAAAACAAAATTAAATCGAATATTAAAACAACGTGTTTAGAATAATATTGTTATACTATTAGATCATAATATTTAGCCTTTTGAAACATCCTGGTCCTAGTTTTTAAATTATGTATGTATGTATATGTGAAATATTTCGCAAGTCATTTCAAGATGTCGAAGGAAAGGTGTGGTGAGGTCATCGCACTCTACGTAAACATGTAGATCAGCTGACCTGGACTTGACTAGTTTGAATTTTCTTTCAATGTTCCCAATGCCATATCTTTAATATTATCGGACGAAATGCTTCTTATTAATCATTACTCCTTAGTTTTACTAGCAGGTTAGGTTAGGCTGCTTCATTGCCCGTAAAATGGAAAATCTAATCAAAAATAAGCCAGACAATTCGATGAACGGCTTGGATTAAACAAAAAATGGTGTAATCGTTATTCATGATAAATTTTATTGCATAATTCTTGTGTATGCACAAGATTATAAAAGCAATTTTACTCAGATAGCCTGGTTTTTCAGGTTTGAACGTTGTTCATCTCCGTACAGAGAAACCAGAGAGTAGGGCACTTCTGGTATTAGTATAAATAAACGAATTTTAATTTGGTTGTATTCATCTTTTAAAAAAATATCTACTTGTATCGTGATCCGTTGTATCGTGATTCTCTCCCTTTCGGTTTTCCGAGACTGTGATTAACCAAAAGGCCGTTTAAAATGTATTTAATTAAGAAAATATAATTTAATTTCGTTAGTCGTTTAGTGACAAGTAAACATAAAAGTAATTTAAATAATTATCCATTGTGTTACTGTTTTATCGACTCTCAAAAAGTTGTCAGTTGTTTTGTTAATATAAGTCATGAGAAATTTATGACCTGCTTATGGGTTTGTGTTCGACAACGTTAATGAGCCTCCACTTGATGTGGGATGCCAGTGATAGACAGTTACTGCCAGAAGGCTCTTGCATCGCCTGTCTTTTGTGAAAAGGCACGCTTCTCACACAGACAATTCCGAATGTTACCTTTAGATTTTAGACTAAATTCCGAACCTGTTTAAGGTTATAATGGAAACCCAAGCCCAGCCAACGACACCAGAAGGAGATGACACAGGCCAGCCGCCTGTTCCACAGAAGAAGCAGGCCAGAGCGCGAGGCAAGGCGCAACCAGAACGACCTAAGAGGAGTCTTTTCTGTCTGACCCTCAATAATCCTTTGAGGAAACTCTGCTATGACATCGTGGAGTGGAAGTATCCTTTTTTTAATACACTTAAATTATTCATGTATTTGTGTATTTAATTTTGTGTATATCCCCTCCATCTTTGAACCGATCAATGCTGCCAAGCCTTCATTTATTCAATTTCCTTAAAAAAATGATGAATACTTTTGCCTCCTGAGTGGATATTATGGATGTCGTAATATATAAGAAAAATATATTTGAATTGCACTTGGAATGGGCATAACTAAAAGCACATATTTAATAACTTTGTCAACTATTACGTTATATTACATATTTACTATATTTTTTAAAATACATTTCCTAAAAACAATTCAGACCGTTTGAATATATGATTTTGACTACAATTTTCGCCAATTGCATTGCGTTGGCCGTATTCACACCATACCCAGCCAGTGACACGAACAATACAAATCAAATTTTAGTAAGTATATATTTTCTTGCACAAGTGCAATACAGACAAAAGTCGCCAACGCGCCGACATATTATGTTGAAAACTTTTATTGGGGGGTTAGGTAATGTACCTAATGTAAAATTAATTTATTACAAGACACAAGGTGATGTCGGCTGCTCGACGTTATGTACTTTTTTGGCAGTTTGTTTATATTGGTATTAGGTTGATTTATAAATGTTGACTCTGTGTGTTTCCATAAATTATAACCGTTACCGGGGTAGAACCGTTTGACGCTAAGCTGTAAAGTAAGTAAGTGGTAAGTTATAAAAGCCGCTGGAACGAGCTCCAAGCTGAATTAACTCACGATGACTTACGTGAACTGTCATCTTGATTTCCACGTAACGATAATAAATATATAAATAAGGAAAATAGGAATAAATTGGTACGTTCTGTTGGAGATTTGAATGTCACCGGGCAATTGAGGCATACAAGATGGATGTTTGCCAGATTGCATGGTGTAAGAAGGCGATTTTGGTGTGGATTACGTTTTAAGGAAAGAAAATAATTGTAAATTGATAAGCGATAAATAATGAAGCAATTTAAATATTAATGTCATTGTAAGATTGTTTAATCACGCAGCAATGCAAGCGTACGTTTCATACAGGGGCAGTCCATCCATATTTAACAAATCCGCGGCTGCTATGATCAACGTCCTTAACATATTAGTAGACAATTAAACTACTCCTAGAAACTTATATCATTAATTACTTATTATTAAAAAATAATTATAGGAAAAAGTAGAATGGGTTTTCATGGCGATTTTTACCGGAGAGTGTGTGATGAAGATCATAGCGTATGGCTTTTTGATGCATCCTGGAGCTTATCTGAGAAACGCCTGGAACAGTTTGGACTTTACCATTGTTACTATAGGGTAAGTATAATTTTCTTTGAGACAAATAACAGTTACATTTCAATTTGTTCTCTTTAAACGGATTCGGATTACGATGAAATGTTCTTGATATGTCAAGTCATATCGGAAATGAAATACGCCAAGTCAATCCTGATTAATTAGGCGTGTAAATAAGGCTGAGTTTAGTAGTTAGAGGACTCTTTGAGCTGGGTAAATCATTTTAGGTATGATTTGATGATAAACCAAACAAGTGTTATAACAAAGACGAAGAAAATCAGTGTATTATTTTTCATAATAATACCAATTTATTCAACAGCCTAGAATTAATGTCGAAAGAGGTCATGGATATGACCTTTTATGGGTTAACCTAATGTACACACACACAATGCAATATACTTTAAAGCTATATGACTGGTAAATGTTTTGTCTTTGTTTACGAGTTGTGGGTATTGTAGTCTGAAACTTTTGTGATTAGAATTTACATGCTATATACTTTTTGTATGTAATTTTGTCAGTTATTTGTAAAATCTTGGGTATCGAAAAGCTATTCACGACGATAGAATTAATTCACTTACTGGTTGGCGTCAAAAGGATGTCTGAAACACAACAACTCAATACAATAAGAACCAACACTTTCTTACCGTTGGTGGATTCCTGTCTTGTAATATTCGCTTTTTATATCGCGGACATTGATATACAAAAACCCAAGATGCACAATCAACGTCTAAAAAACGTCCTCAAAAAATGAGCGCAACATTCTAAATTGTGTGCTCATTTCAAATAGTCTCGCGTCTATAAGTGGAGTCGATGTTATTTATTTGTGTTTTTTTTATAAATAAATTTATGTACTCTTGAACTTTTTTGTGTGTAGTTTTTGACAAATATATTTAGCGCTATATAAAGTGTGGGGTCAGAGTAGGTAGCCAATTTAACATTTGTTTTTAATTTAAAGAAAAAACTTTTTAACCGGATTAATGTTATGTATTATTATAAATTTACAACTATTTAACATCCAACACCTTTTGTCTTCAGTCACGTGACCACTCAGCTGTAAAGCACCCGAAAAGTCGGATAAATTTAAAATTATGTTAAATAGTTGTAAATAAAAAGTCATGTTCACTCCACTCAATACCTTGTCCTACCGACCAGGTCGGTCGTAAAATTTTATTGCTTTAAGTACGTATACACTGCGTTGTAATAACAACTTTAAGCAATTCGCGTAAGGTTGATTTTGCAATGATATATGCTTGTAACATATACTGTTATGGACAGAAATAGTGTTTCGGGACACTTTCGAGCGTTGCTTTTATTCGAGCTGTGCATGTTTTGAAAATGGGATGACAAAAATTGTATATCTCAACAGTAGACAATTTTTCTCATCATTGAATAATGGTTCTAATGAAAATGTATTAAGCATTAATTTCAAAGTTATATATATTTATTCATTTACAGAGAGAAAGAGTGTTTTCTGGTAAGCAATATACTAAAGATGAAAAATTATTGATTTCAGCATAGTGAGTCAGCTCTTACAAGTAATATCAAAGGATTTGTTTGACGTAAAAGCCTTAAGAGCTTTCAGAGTTCTACGACCGCTACGATTAGTGTCGGGAGTACCAAGTGAGTGTAGTTTTAGCTATAATTCATTAATTGTATTGGTAAATAATTTACTATAATTAATTAATTGTATTCGTAAATAATTTACTATAATTCATTAATTGTATTGGTAAATAATTTACTATAATTCATTAATTGTATTGGTAAATAATTTACTATAATTAATTAATTGTATTCGTAAATAATTTACTATAATTCATTAATTGTATTGGTAAATAATTTACTATAGTTAATTAATTGTATTGGTAAATAACTTACTATAATTCATTAATTGTATTGGTAAATAATTTACTATAATTCATTAATTGTATTGGTAAATAATATGCTTTAATTCATTAATTATATTGTTAAATAACACAAATTTTACTTTATTTATACTATAAAGCATTCTTTATAAGTATGCGTCCATATATATAGTAATTGGTCGACTCGCATCCTGGGAAAGTAACGACGAACTACTTCAAGTAAAATTTGTTTGTAACTGTTTGTTGTAGTTTCTAATTAAATTTTCTTTCCAGGTCTCCAAATAGTTTTAAATTCAATATTGAAGGCGATGGTACCACTGTTCCATATCGCTTTTCTCGTTCTCTTTGTGATCATTATCTATGCTATTATTGGTTTGGAGCTGTTTTCCGGGGTTCTACATGATACCTGCTTTGATAATGAAACTAGTAAGTACTTAAGTAGGTTACTTTAAATAAACATATCTTTTTATTTTCGAGTTTTTATTAAATAAAATTTTTCGGAGAAAAAACATGATACGTACAGTGTTTTTATAGTATAGCAGAATGGTTGGACTTGAATTAAATATTCTCAAATTACTAATTAACTTTGCAGTATTTATTTTTAAATTATAACACAAATTTAAAAAAAATTAAATAAAAAGTATTATTTCTGTAGAAAAAATGGTAGATGAACCATCTCCTTGTTCCCGGGAAGCTGATGTTGGCAACCACTGTGATGAGGGCCAGATATGCAAGGACTATTGGGTGGGGATTAATTTTGGTATCACCAATTTTGACAATATTGGATATGCGATGCTCACTGTATTCCAATGTATCACGCTTGAGGGATGGACGGATATTATGTACGCGGTAAGAACTAGTTATGACTAGTAAAAGAGAAATTCACTTAAAATACATAGGAGTAGTAAATTTAAATAAAACCTTTTTTTCGCATATATTGAACCAGAATTTAATAAAATAATATTAAAAACCTTTTGTGTAAAATTTCGCGAAGCATGGAATCGATTTAATTGAAATATAATTTCTTCTAATACCTACAGTGTATTATGATTTACTGTCTTCTGACGTGTATATAAAGCCTTATTATAATACAAATTTTACTTTATTATTACGAAGCCTCTACATGAAAAGCGTGTAAATGTTCATCGATAACTCCATTTTGTTTTAAGCTAGCTTTTGGCCCGATCATTGTTCTATTAAGCTCATCTTTCAGAGATAAGATTAAGATGTATATTATAAACAATAGCACTAATATACTAGCTTCTGGCCGAAACCTTTAAATACTGCATTGCTAAAAGTAATAAAATATGATTTATTGAATATAGTATTGCAAGTCTTTAATAGAAAATAATAACTATCTATAGTTCAAAGTGATTTCAAATAACTGAGACTATCTTTAAAGATACTGTGCTTATAGTGTAATAAAATATGTAATATTCTTATCGTTAACAAATATATTGGCAACAACTTCAATACGTTTCAGATAGCTGACGTGAAAGGCAACACCTGGGTGTGGATCTATTTCGTTACTTTGGTTATTTTTGGAAATTTCTTCGTTATGAACTTGATTCTCGGAGTTTTATCCGGGTAGGTTGTGTATAAATTTTAATACGAAGAAGAACTTAGAAACCCTAATTATTTGTATTTAAAAACATTTCGGCGGAAACTTCATGAAATTTCTTTCAAGTTTTTTGCTTTATGTAGAACCGAAGTAATTACTCATATCTAAAAGAATAAACGAAGTAAGAGTGGTGGAAATTTCTTATATTTTCATAATTATTAAAGTATTTTTGCGGATACAAATTTGTGATCAATTTAAAACAATGAATAACAACATTATTATTTTCTAGAGAGTTCTCAAAAGAAAGAGAAAAAGCAAAGAATAGAGGAGATTTTCAGAAGTCAAGAGAACGACAGCAGTTTGAAGAAGATTTGAAAGGATATCTCAATTGGATAACAGTTGCTGAAGAGCTGGATCTCGAAAATGATCAAGGGCAGAAGGAACAAGACCAGGAAAATCAAGGTTAAGCTTCTTTTAAATGTCAAATATATTTTTAGAAAATACAGTTTTTCTATACTATAGCTATAGCTATAAATCGCCGACCATGGATATGCCAGAAGGCATTAAAAATTGGTACAAACTTTTCTTAAAGGACCTCAAGCCGTAGTGGTTGTGTTGTGCAGCTCCACATAATGGTTATGCGCAGCAAAAAGTTAAAGAAACGCATAATCAAGTATTAATGTACATTGAGAAGGAATTGATATAACCTACTGGCTATAAGTAATATAATTTGGTTTATGGGTTAGCTTCTGACATTTTAAATAGAAAAAATACTTTATTTTACATCACTAATGTTTACTGCCATCGAATCCTTTATTATGTGATTATAATAAAGGATTCGATGGCGATGGCGTGTATTGTCCTCCAGGCCGATTTGTACTCGGCAGCTAGTCTCAAATGAGACTGGCAATGTATGTAGATGACGTTATAGTTCTCAAGTGTTCGTTGGTTCGTTCAAAGACACAAGAACACTGTCTATTTCATAACTCTCATAGCCGATGTGATGGATATCCGACACGACCTGATCGGATTATGAGTACTATATACATATGAAGCTCATAATATTTTTGTTGTAGGTAATAAAAATGAGAGAATAAATAATGAAGACTCGCAAACAAATATAAATGGAAATGGCGAAACTCAGAAAACTACAACATGCAAAATCTACTGTAAGAGATTTGACAAAGTAAGCAATATTTTGTACATTAAGATTGTTTTAAAAATATTATTTTTCTATCTGTGTCTACTTTAACACTTGCTAGTAAAGATAAATATCCCAGGAAACCGGCCAATACAAAATTAAGGACGTGTGCGAGCGCAAAAGGCTGATCACGTACTTGTCTAATGGAAAATGTTTAAAGATTTTTCATTTGTTGAAAACTAAGGCAATGTAACGTTATACCAAAATGACCACAGATAATTAATAAGTATAATATTTATATCTGTAAATCCAATAGCGACATCAATACGGTTCCCAACGTTTTCGTATGCAAGGTTGATGCAGGTATCTCAATATCCGTAGCGTGCGGCTCTGAATCTGTCAGTAGAGAACATTTAAACAATGTTTACTCTCTTCAATTTTTATTCTGTATAAAGTACGTCACTATCTTTAAAATGTTCGTAAATTCGGTGTAAAATTAGTTTTGTAATATTTTAGGTTAATCGTCGTATGCGCAGGTCGTGTCGTAAAGCTGTCAAGTCGCAAACGTTTTATTGGGCTATTATTGTACTTGTATTTCTGAATACACTTGTACTAGCTACAGAACATTATAAGTAAGTACATTTTCAGATAAAATAAAACTATTTTAAGAATTTTTGATAAGATATTAATATGTGTCAAAAGGTAACGAGTAAACCCAGATTTTTTTAACCAAATTATTACCTAAGTTTCAATACCAATTACGGATTATTTCTACTAGAAATACCGTTTCGGATCCGTATATGCCCCACAAATTTAAACAAACTACTAAGCTGCGGAGTCGTTAAAAAAGTCTAAGAAATTGATTAGAACCGAAATATAATAATGTGCAGTTAACATTTATTAAGTTTAACTTGAATAAAACTGATTTCAGTCAAGACCCATGGTTGGATGACTTCCAAAACTACGCCAACTATTTGTTCGTCGTGCTGTTTACTATGGAGATGCTTGTAAAGATGTATGCTTTGGGATTCCAGGTGTGCTTTTTTATTTTTATTATCTAACATAAACTAAACCGCAAAGAATCAAAACTATTGTTATGCAACACTACTGTGCACCACGCAATAGTTTTATCATAAGTTTGACATAGAATTTAATTCTTGTCAAATATTTCACGCAGACGTATTTTAACGGTTGCATTCAATATCAAAGTGAAAATATATGTCAGCATTATTTACCTAAGAACTTTGAAATACACGTCCAGAAATGTCCAGAAATTATTTAAAAACATCTGACAACTAGAATTTTAGTCTTTGAGAAATTTGTGGTTAAACATACAAACATACATACTTACGATATTGGCATACGTGCTTGGAAGCCTAAACATTTCAAATATATTATTAATTTCCAACAATATCACATACAGGTCACATAACCTCCTTTTTTGTAGTGGATCAATTCGAAAAAAGCTAGTATATTTATATGTATGTGATTCCTTTTCAGGGTTACTTTGTATCTCTATTCAACCGCTTCGACTGCTTCGTCATGGTCTGCTCCATCCTGGAGCTGGGTCTCACAATTTCTGGAACCATTCCTCAATTGGGTATATCTGTGCTTCGATGTGTCAGGCTTCTGAGGGTATTCAAAGTTACTAAGTAAGTCCCACACCATATATACCAAAATTGGTTCTGTTATAAAACATGCACTAAAGACAGTCCTAACAATATGGAAATTATACTATATTTTTACTACGTACAATCCACCACCTCGACACATTATAATAAACCTTATTCATAACACGTAAATAAAGCGATGTTTTTTTTTATAGATATTGGCGATCGCTATCTAACCTCGTGGCCTCACTTCTGAACTCCATTCAATCTATCTTCTCCCTTCTTCTTCTATTGTTTCTGTTCATAATGATCTTTGCGTTACTGGGTATGCAAGTATTCGGAGGAAGATTTGACTACGATCCAGAGGAACAGAAAGAGAGGCATAACTTTGATTCTTTTTGGCAGGCTGTGTTAACAATGTTTCAGGTAAAATAAATTAATATTAGTAATAATATCTTAATTATCCGTTTTTCATAACCGTTAACAATTAATAGAGTATAAGATCTTAATTTTCCTGTTTATGTTTGCCAACAGATATTAACAGGAGAAGACTGGAATGTGGTGATGTATCATGGTATAAACGCATATGGTGGTGTTGGTACACCTGGTATGCTTGCTTCGATCTACTTCATTATTATTTTCATTTGTGGTAACTGTATCCTTCTTAAAGTAACATTCTTTAGCAATTAAGTTAAGTTAAAGATAATGTTAACTTCGTGCATTTAATTATAATCTTGAATTTTCAAAATTAATACTCTAAATTAAAGCGTATGAAATATTAAATACAACTAACTTCCTTATTACTATAACATCAGATATACTATTAAACGTGTTCTTGGCTATCGCTGTTGATAATTTAGGAGACGCGGAAGAGATGGACCAGGAAGTAGAAATTGTGAAAGAGAAAGATGTAAGTATACATTTCTAAGCTAAGAAATTACAAACGAATACCTACTTAAACTTTAATAATCAAATAGGATGGTGATAATACCGAAGCTGGAAATCCTCAAATAGATGAAGAGAGAGGTGAAACAGATGATGAATATGTCAATGAAGAGGAAGGATATTCTAGTGAGGGGTAAGTATCAATAAATACATACCTATTTGCTTGAATTTAAATTGTAATAGAAAATGTATTTGTTTTAATTATAAATGTAAATTTTTTCATGCAGCCAAAAGTATAAAAAGTACAAAAGAGTGGCCAGGTAAATTAATAAAGTATAAAGAAATTAATAAATAATGATATCAAATTTATAATGATGCTTTAGTCTAAAAGAACATTTAAAAGTAAAAAAGAACGGTAAATATAAATAAATACAGAAAATAATTAATTAAATAACAAAAGCATGCTAGAATTATAATGAACATCGTGACTATATTAAATATATATATACTATATGTAAGATAGAACAATTTTAGGCCATTTAACCGCAATGAAAAAATTAATCACTTAATTAACTTTAATATAGATCTGAAAATGAGTATGAGGAAACCGGGTCCGAAGAAGACATAGAACAAGAAATTGAAGAACAGACTGACAATGCTAATGACGCACTAGTAACGGTAGAGAAGAAACAAAACGGTAATTTTTTATTGATTAGCCTTGAAACGTTAAGTTTTTTTATTAGAATCATAGTCGTGCTTATATGAAAGATATGGTCGTATACAACGTCATTTAATCTACGCAAAAAGATGATAATGATAAATGTAAAAAGGAATAAAATGAATTTCTAAATTCAAAATGAAAGATATACATCAGTAAAGTTAAAGTTGTTATCTATTATTTCCGAACCAATTCGACTTAGGGTCCTTCGAGAAAAGAGCGTACCAATTCTTAAAAGGCCGGCAACGCACTCGCGAGCCCTCTGGCATTGAAAGTGTCCATGGGCGGCGGTATTACTTAACATCAGGTGAGCTTCCTGCCCATTTGCCCCCTGTTCTAAAAAACAAATAAATAAATAATAATAATATTTTGAGGCAGTATGTACATTATGATATATTTATTGTTTCAGGGGATGTTAAGAAACAAGAATCACCACCGCCTCCAAAGCGACAACCAACAATATCGGCCAGACCTAGGAGGCTGTCAGAAGTCGAAATTAAATCTCAGGAGAGACCAATACCAGAAGCCAGCAGCTTTTTTATATTCTCGAAAAACAATTGGTAAATAACATTATGGCTTTAAATAAAGTATTGTTTGTTTTTTAGTATAGTTGGCCTTGTGGCTTGAGCAAGCGCCAGGCGCTTCTCAACCCTGGGGTCGTGCGTTCGAATCAAGACTTTGCAATGGATGTTCCCTCTTATTAATAATATTATAATTTCAGGTTCCGAGTTACCTGTTATAATGTACAAAACAATTCTTGGTTTAAGAATTTGATTCTGGTTTGTATTCTTGCCTCTTCTCTTATGTTGGCTATGGAAGATCCCGTTGAAGGAAAGGCTACCGAGGGCAAACGAGAGGTAATTATCAAAAGAACATATTTATTCTCTATGTTATATGATTACATGATATTAGTTAGACCTCCATAAACTGATAAAACGATGTTTATAGTAGATGTTGTACCTTGCAAAAAACTAAAAAGAAATCAGTATTTATTTAATCATATTGGTATCAATGTACTCTTACGAACGTCAATATTTAAAAAACATATAATAATTACATTTACGAATTACAAGAGTTCCCAAATCGGTCGAGAAAAACTTGGAAAATACTACGTCACTCTTTTTAATTACGAGTACCAAGTTTTGTATACGCCATACTTCCTCGATATTTGTTCTGAGCAAAGAGTCGCTAATTTACTAAGCTAAATTGTTTTTCAGATTCTTCGTAGAGTCGACTACTTCTTCACCACAGTGTTCACCATTGAACTGTTACTAAAACTCATCACCTACGGTTTCATTCTACATAAGGACGCATTCTGTCGTTCTGCTTTTAACCTGCTTGACTTGTTGGTCGTCATCGTTTCCCTTGTATCTCTATCTGGGTGAGTTAAATTTAATGATCTACCTGGGTAACTCATAAATATCATGTGTCGAGTATGAGAACATAATATACTTCACAATCGCCTAAGATTACGATCCGTACAACCAAAAAAAATCGTTTTTACTTGCTATATATAAAACATATATACGGTTTACAGATCAAATAATGTTTCGTTCATCAAAATATTGCGGGTATTCCGAGTATTGAGGCCTCTTAGAGCTATCAATAGGGCTAAAGGATTGAAGGTCAGTGTCTCCTTTAATGTACTATACAATAGAGATAATTCAGTTACACGTAGTTAGTATTGTACAGAAATGTAGCAAGGAGTATTTCGTTACTGTGATATAGCTTTCGCTACGAATTTTACAATTGTATTAAAAAGAAACCTTTACGGAAGAAAAGACGTTAAAACTGTTCCAAAGTTTCGTGTGCTCTACGGCATGTTTGGTCATTACAAGATTAACTGCGGTGTTAATTTTGTCATGGTGGAGTCAGCCAAATTTATTTTAGCACTTAGATTTATAGGAACACGCTGTCTAGTACACTAATGTCTTTTTTAGGCTTACGATTATTAAATGTATAATTAAATTCTTACTGATTCGATAACGTCCATATTTTTTATAATACGAGAAATTTGGGAGTCCACGTAAGCTTTTTAGTTTTCTTTTGAACTTATATCCTTTTATTTATTAGATGATAATCACAGAAACAAATTTAAAAATGTTTTATAATATTTCTAGCACGTTGTGCAATGCGTGATCGTTGCTATAAAAACAATTGGCAACATTTTGTTGGTGACAAATCTCCTGCAATTCATGTTCGCAGTAATGGGAGTGCAAATGTTCAAGGTAGAGGATATTTTTTAGTATTAATTTGTTACGACACCTTTGGGTCTTTAGTAAGTATAGCACTTGTTGTTCACCGCACCTTTGAAATCTAGAGCTTTTAGAAGATCTTTTGTGTGTGCCTTCTCGGAGCTGATACTTGGTCACAATAGTTTTTAATTGGAATGATTACCTGACGCATGAGTTTTCAGATATTGTGACCTCGTACTAACCCTGCTTCTTTCGTGGGTCCAAAAATTCGCTTTGTAGGGTGCATGTGATAAAGCCCAAAGGTGTTGTGCGCTATTTAAATTGTGATTTTTTGGACTCAATATGAGCTTGCTGTGTTTCTTTGCACCCCTACCTGGACATTTCCACTCGTGAAAAGTGAGGTACTTGGTTTATTTTTTTTGTTCAAGTCAGATCAGGACACTGGCTTTTTTGATGACTAATGTCATTTTATATTTTGTTAACAATTTTTTTTTCTTACACAACTGTACGTGACATCGCGTTTTTGGATTGGATTTGGTAATGTAAATGGTTTTAACAAATGTTGTGATAGTATGTGGTGAAGTGTGTGTTTGCTTCAATAAAATCGATCGGGAACATCCTGGTTATAAACCATATGTTGCAATTTATGTTCGCTGTCGTTGGCATTCAATTGTTTAAGGTAATCGCTTAAAATGACTGGACCGGATGTAATAAAGTTTATTTATATTTGGTCTACTTCAGATAACAATAATAACTATAGTTTATTTATTAATGTCACTTTGCTTACAATTAACGCGACATACATTTGAATTATTATTTAAAACAATGAAATAAATATTCCTGTACTGCTTCAAGTTATTTTTAGAGAAATAAAAAATAATCATAACAGTAGTTATGCAAAAAAGTGGCTTCGTTAATGTCGTAAAAGAAAACTTAGACTAAACATTATATATAATATAATTACATAGTTAAATCATCTTCAGTAGGTACTTTTGACTGAAAAGTTTAACAAACATTATCATAATTAATTTATCTCTGGCCAAAGCCTATTAACAAATTGTGCTGTCACAACTTTTGGTCTATGTAATACAAAAGCTTGTTTTCAGGGTAAATTCTATAGCTGCACAGATATAACCAAAGTGACATCTGAAGAATGCCAGTGAGTATTCGTTCCTTTCTATTAATGACAGAATATCCTTGTAAAATCAACGGTTTCGTTTTACAGTATTTTACCTCTGCGCCTCAAACTTTCTGTACCTGTTTCGTAATCATTTTGTCTGGCGATGTATTCTTTCCTCGTACGAACGAATATTAAATACGAACAAAGACAGCAAGTCCAGAAAGCACAGCCGGGGTTCGAACCTACGCCCTTAGGGATGATAGTCGCACGCACTAGGTCAATATTGCTGCTTCAATTAACATAACGTAATCTACAATGATCCCAGAATTTTTATATTGTTTCTAAAAACAAGAACGCTTTGCGTTATTTTTGATCGAATCAGAAACTAGTAACGTTAATTACAAAAAATAATATGACCCGTATTCAATCATAAGTTACGATACATTTTATTAACATACCTTTCAGTGGTGCATACCTAGTATACAAAAATGGTAAGCCAACAATAGAAGACCGTATATGGCAGAAGAATAAATTTAATTTCGACAATGTCTTCAAAGGAATGCTAACATTATTCACCGTATCCACATTCGAGGGATGGCCTGGGTACGTATTTTGTAAATAATTTAAAAAAATTATAAAATCAATCGCAATAGAACTATTTTTAAAGACTAAATTAAAAAAAAACAGTCAAGGATACACTTTACTTAGTTTTGACTAAGAGAGACTTTTGGTAAGTTAAGAGAGCTAGATTTAAGCTAAGATTTCCGTACGTCAATATATATTGGATTATGTACGGGATTACATACGGTGATCACAGTTCGCACTAAGTATTCTGAATAATACCCTTAAAAGCTGTAGGTATAGTGATTTCTTTTAAGGGGTTTTTAAATATATTATACGTATAAAAATCACTATGGCTCACATAATATATCTATAATAATCGTTTCGTATTGATTTGCAAAGAATTATTGTTCTCATCCTTTCTACGAGCTTGATTCGAGAACTGGCTAAAATGCTAATTTTATTTTTACGTTTATAAATGCGCATTAAGTTATCTACATGAATATGGCATATTATGTGCCTATTGACAAGATAGTCTGCCCCATGCCCTATACGAGGGTAAATATATGAATAGTTTAGTTTTAAATTCCCATAAAATATTTCATGTAATAAATAATAATACTTCTATTTTTAGACTATTATCAACATCAATGGACTCAAATGAGGAAAATCATGGGCCTATAGAGAACTCTCGGCCCCTTGTAGCATTCTTTTACATAAGTTATATTATTGTGATAGCATTTTTTATGGTAAGTTTTTGATTATAGTATAATCTCGGTTAGTCTTTTTATTATGGATACTTCTTATGGATGGATTAATAAACACTGAATCAAATTGTTTAATGTATGGTAGACTGAGAATTTCTTATACAAAAACATTAAGTAAAGGTCTGGTGAAAATATCAAGTATTGAATATCCTTGAAATCGTTTGAACTGGGCACCGTTTGATTTCTCATGCGCCATTAACACTTGCACGGTGAATAAAAATGTCGTAAGGAAACACATACGTGATCTAAAAGTGGAGAATGTCATAAAAGGCTTACTAAATATATCTAACCCTGAAAAGTTTTGAACATTGAAAGCGTGTTAGATCTTCGAAAAAAATGATATAAACGTTTATTTATTTGACCAAATAAGTTGCCGCTACGAGTCACCCCAATGCGGCATGTTTGTGATGAATAATGGAAAAGAATGTAACGTTTTATAAGTACTTTTACATATATTACATACAACATAGACCCTACATATAAAAAAAAACAGAAGAAAATGTACGACAATCAACAGTGAAAGATTAACTATTACTACCACTATAGGAACTGACAAATTCTTCTATTATAACTTACTGGACCATTTAAAAGGTCCGCTAACCCATAAAGTTATTTTTTTAAATTATTGTTATATATATTAAATATTTAAAGTAAAGGTACAGAAAACACTTAGGGGTTTAACCTGAAAGGCTACATCAAACTACAAATTTAAATACCTTATAAACTAAAGAGTTAAAAAGAAATACAGTTAATACAAAAAACGAAAACAAAGCATTACAACAAACAGTGAAATATGACGTTTTAATTTTATTTATGTTTTTAGGTTAACATATTCGTAGGTTTTGTCATAGTTACATTCCAAAAAGAAGGAGAGCAAGAGTTCAAAGATTGTGAATTAGATAAAAATCAAAGGAATTGCGTTGAGTTCGCACTAAAAGCCAAACCAATAAGAAGGTTAGATTCGTCTCATTTTTATCATCGTTATCCAGTGCAGTGTTGGCCTAGTGGCTTCAGCGTGTGACTCTCATACCTGAGGTCGTAGGTTCGATCCCCGGCTATGCACCAATGTACTTTCTTTCTATGTGCGCATTTAACATTTGCTCGAACGGTGAAGGAAAACATCATGAGGAAACCGACATGTCTTAGACCCAAAATCAACGGCGTGTGTCAGGCACTGGAGGCTGATCACCTACTTGCCTATTAGATTTAAAAAATGATCATGAAACAGATTCAGAAATCTGAGGCCAAGACCTAAAGAGGTTGTAGCGCCACTGATTTATTTTTTTATAATGATCCAGGGCCTAATAAGAATATTTACAGGTATATTCCAAAACATCGAATCCAATATAAGACATGGTGGTTTGTGACTTCACAGCGGTTTGAGTACGTCATATTTTTCTTTATCGTCCTCAATACTGTGGCGCTCATGATGAAGTATCATGATGCACAACCCTTATATAAGAAGGTAGGTAGCAACAAACCGTAGGTAATAGATAGGTTAACCCATATTTTATGTTTCACTCTTTAAGCGGAAGTAATGTTACTGTTACACAGGAAATGAAGTCACAGTTTTCGTTAATAAAGCGACTGGCCGAAACAAAAATAATATTTTCATAAAAATATAGAAAAACTAAAAATCTCTATAGCTCTCGCTAAATAATTATATAGCATAGTATTAGCTAGTCGGCTCTGGAAGACATGTGTAGGCTGTTTATTTTTTTCATTTTAATTTATTTTAATTTGTTGTTGATATGGGTACTAGAACTAGTCTTTAAGTTGTACTTACTAACAAAAATAGATCGGTGTTATGTAATTGAAATAAAAAAATATTATTATTATATTTAGTCTACGTGACATAGGTTAAGCACATGGCCTATGAGATAGGTCATGGGGTTAATTTATTACGAGTATATGTACTGTATCTCATTAAATCATTGAATTAGAAGGAAACAACACCATTTGTGACACTTCAACATGGTTAAGAAGTTATGTAAACATTTCTTTTTCAGATATTGGACTATTTAAATATGCTTTTAACAACAGTTTTTATGTTGGAATTTGTTTTTAAATTGGCAGCATTTAGATTTAAGGTACGTAAACGGTAAACCATTTTTATGCTTTCCTTCTTCTGTACGTATGGTATGTGTTCCGTTATTTGTTACTATGATAATTTACTTTCTGACTCGGTTTTTTTATTAAAATTATGTCATAATTTTGAGTAATTGCAATGCGAGGTAGATTAAGGTCCGTCCGTATTATAGAACGTCAAACAATCTTATATCTAGGTTCAAGAGTTATCAAACCATTTTTTTTTATGGAAGTTTGACATATTTGAAAGCGCTTGAGACGAGATTGTAACTTGAGACAAATAAGAATATGGAACAAGCTACGAAATATGTTTGTATTGAATGTTAAAGTTGAAATTAAATGAAAAGTTATGTATTGATGCTTTTGTGTAACTAATATCACTTAGCAATGCAAAAAACCTTGTTAAAAAATGACTTATTAAATTGTTGAATTAATGGTAGAGTAGTAAGCTTTCGTTTTAGGTTTCATACATCATAAGCAACATTCTTTAAAAATATGTATATTATTTTACAGAATTACTTCGGCGATGCATGGAATACAACGGATTTTATATTAGTAGTGGGCAGTATAATAGATATCGTAGTTACTCAAGTGAATGAAAATAAACTGCCATCCGAAGTAAGTCCAATAGTCAATATATTTCGCTTTCTAGGCAAAACTAGTATCTAGCAATTTGGAAACAAAGCATTCATATCAAGAAACCATTTTTTATTGATTGATGATTTGATAATAACTTATTACGTATTCATTTTTAGGGTTTATTAAACATATTATTTTAACTACTTAGTTAAATATTAACATCTATCTATATATATATTAATTGCTATATGAATTGCTGTTCGTTTCTCTCGCTTAAAGCCGTGAATTGCTGGACTGATTTGGCTAATTATGGTCTTGAAATATTTGTGGAAGTTCAGGGAAGGTTTAAACGGTGGGGAACATAAATAATAAGTATAGTACCAAACTAAAAATGTTTAAATTTTCCAATAACAACTGTTCTTAGCTGAAAATATTTGATGTCTTTTGACTGTTTAGAAATAAACAATTATCACTTGGTTGTCAAATATTTATAGACGCATTCACAAATTTGTGTTTCATAGCTGTAGTATGAGGTTCCATCTCTTTGGTCTGTTTTAAAAATTGTAATAAGTTTTGTAACAAATATATGTAGGTGATAAGAAGTTCATCGGGTCATCTAGTAAATATATATTTTTTAAAATTTATTCTGATAATCTTTTATGGTTAAATAGGATTCTAGCTTAGATTAATGTATTCTAGATATAATTTAAATTGAAGTCATATGAATTACCTTACGCAATTAACAATGTTTTGTTTCGTTTTCAGCTCATTGCACCCCTTGGAGCAAATAAAGAGGTAATTAACTGTCATTAATTGCATTAATTCATTAAATTACATAAGAAATCTTTATCGTATTAAAGTGAGTAAATCATGCGCTTGCGACTCCACTAATAGAATATGGCGAATAATCGTACCTTTTTGCGACGAGCTTATAGTGAGGTGACTGGTAGACCGACACTGAAGGGTAACTTCTATAGAAAAAATATTAATCACAGCAAAGTTGTTTTTTAATGGAATATCGGGCAGGGGCCTCACCTGATGTTAAGTGATACGAAGCCCATGGACACTGTCAACGTGAGAGAGCTTGCGAATGCGTTGCTGACCTTTTAAGGATGGGTAAGCTCATTTCTTGAAGTCGAATTGGTTCGGAAATACTTGAATAGGCAGCTGGATGAAAACTGCCTTAACTCAAAAAAACCCTCGCGGAACGACGATCGAGATGAAACGGGTTGATTTCGCAATCTGCCTCGACGTCCGATGATGAAACTCGGTTGCAGTTGTTAGTCCGAACAACTCCTCTGAACACTCTCCATGGTAAATGCGGTAGAAGAAGCAGAGAAACATCACATCTCTACGCGACGCCAAGGGATCAATCCGCTTGGATTGTTCGTTCGCGATCAAGCTACTATAATAACATATTTGATAATTGCATCTATAATTACAGGGTTCAACAACTCTTCTAAAATACATCACATTTTTCCGTCTATTTCGAGCGATGCGTTTGATAAAATTGCTATCAAGAGGAGAACGAATACGAACTCTACTTTGGACATTTATAAAGTCATTTCAGGCTCTACCATATGTAGCCTTGCTGATTGTTCTACTATTTTTCATCTATGCCGTTGTTGGAATGCAGGTAATCTTTCAGGTTATTTTGTGTTAAGTTTATTTTTATTAGGTATAAGAGTACCCATTCACCGTTGTAAAGCCTCTTCTCTTGTCGTCATGTAAGTACAATTGCACAGAAATAGGTGTGTTTTAGTGAAAAGAGATTCTATAAAGACTTTAGTGAACACCTTGATTTTTTTATCTTGACTACTAGTATATAAACGCTTTTTGTCTTGGGGTTTCGAGCTCATTTCAACATTCAATCTATCAGGATGCTATGTTGACTGTTGTAAGACAGGTACGAAATACAAACAAACCCTAAGTAATCATAGAATATAGTTTCTCATATATATTAATGACACTAAATTTCTTCCAGTTGTTTGGTAAAATAGCCTTAGACGATGAGGTACTAACCAGAAATAACAACTTCCAAACGTTTGGCAGCGCTTTGATGGTGTTATTTAGATCAGCTACGGGTAAGAACATAATTTACCTTTGAGATTAAACGATGAAGTTTGGGAGATTTTTATTAGTGAATAGTGGTCGCTCGGAAATTTTTAAAGTCTGATTACTCAGCAATCATGTTGAATTCTAATAGTGAAATCGGTTGAGTATTTTGAAGTTATTAGATGACGCCTGCCGCATGATCAAAATATATTTACTGGTAGTGCTTTTAGGTTAATCAGTTAATTGATAATTCAATTAACAAATTGTGGATAAAATTAGAATATTTGATTTGCCATAATTTTGTATGTGATAAAAATTTATGCTTGTGTTTATATTAAAATGTACACACGTCCATGGTTCTGCTATTTTTACGGGGTTTTAATTGCGATAATTATTAATTAAGCTGTTCCAATAAATATGTAAATAAAAAATGGATTTTTACAACATTAGGAATTATTTTTTCTAATTTTAGACCTCAGTATAATCTTTTCACGTGACGGCTTATCTTAAAAAATTCTTGTATTCAATATATATAAAATTCAAGCTGCCTACATTGTCAAGTTCGATGAATACATGTATAGCGGTATCAATACCTTAAACGCACGAATACTTAATGATTTCTCTTACTACGAAAAAGTTCTAAGTGCCCTTGATCTGTTATAACGGTTGTTATAGGTGAAGCTTGGCAGGATATAATGATGGCGTTGTCCCCCAATGATGACGAGCATCCCGGTATCCCCGTAGGCTGTTACCACGCTGATGGTGATAACTCCACTCTGGTAGAACTCGGCTGTGGAACAAATTTAGCTTTCCCCTACTTTATTTCGTTTTCTCTTCTGTGTACATTTTTGGTGAGTTAATAATAATACAAGAATAGTTTTAAAATTCTATACATTTAATTAATAAATATTATTAATGCATTGCATTGAAGCAGCTTTGAGGTCGTTTTTTTATTTCTGAAAAGGAAAGAAAACCTTTATTACACATAATAAAAAAGTATGTATCTATGTAAAGTGCACTAGCCCCCACACTAGGTTTCCTTGTGTCATAGACACCTAATTAGCTATTAATTTAGGTACCTACTTGACTTATTTAACTACTTTTGTATGTACAAGAAGAATACTTTCGATTTCAGCATAGGATAGAAGTTGATATAGATTGTTAGTGAATGTATAAAGTTTTGAATCGATAGTGAAAATTTTGTTTTTAAAAATGTGGTTTAATCTTTTAAAGAGAAAGCCAGTGCAATATGCAAAAAGTGTCTTCCCTAATCATTGGAGATTTCATTTTTATTATTAAGTAATTTTTTTATTTAACATTATAGATTATCAATTTATTCGTCGCCGTTATTATGGATAATTTCGATTACCTCACACGAGATTGGTCTATCTTAGGACCTCACCATCTTGACGAGTTTGTTAGGTAAGACAATTTTCAATAATGTATAAAATCGTTTTAAAATTATTTATTTTCTTTAAACTTTACATCAACACTGTTCTAGGTTATGGAGTGAGTACGATCCAGATGCTAAAGGTAGAATAAAACATTTGGATGTCGTCACGTTACTGAGGAAAATCAGTCCGCCTCTAGGTAAAAACTTATTTTTTTTACTATATTCTTTACGAAAAGAAAGGACTGTAATTAATTAGTAGGTACGTACTTTACTTAAAAGTCAAAAACATACTATACTCATTCATTTCGCTGGTGCGATACTTTTTGAAGGGTCAAGAGTTCATTAAATTAAACCATTTATAATATATTCGTTTTTCGGAGGGAAAAACTTGTAATCGTCTTATTCTAAGTCAATTATTTGATTACAAACTATTGTAAAGATATGATCGCTGTACGTTTATTTGGATTCAAATTTCTTAAAGAATCTCTTATAAACATACCTAATGCGGGGCCTTGTCCTATAAGTATAAATAATACATTTAAGTAAATCTTTCATGTAATAGATAATATTATATATATATTATATTTTTATCAGGTTTTGGCAAGCTTTGTCCCCATAGAACAGCCTGCAAGCGACTCGTATCAATGAACATGCCCCTCAACTCTGATGGCACTGTCAACTTCAATGCCACGCTTTTCGCTGTTGTGAGAACACAACTGCAGATAAAAACTTCAGGTAAATAGAACTATTATTACTTATCAAGAAAACATTCCAGGATAAAGGCAGAAATATTTGGATGATATTACATGTTAAAAAAACACATACAATCTAAATATGACTCAACCTAACGTGTAGCAAAGGTAAGTTTCTAAATTAGTACAGATACCGGCAAATTTCTTGAGCATTGAGAGTTTGCGCATCGTACGGGACGCGCGGGACACAAACTTCAACTGATTTACCAATCACGCGATCTACAGTGGCACCTAAAAATCTCTTCTGCGCAGGCAAGGTCATTTGGTCAAGATGTTTGCCGGTATCTGTATCAATAGAACGAACGTAATGTACATAATGGAATAGTACACGTAATAAAATAGTAACAACATATTTGCACTATATCTGGGCTGAGCGCTCCGTGAGTGTAGTTATTTGCAGCGCTTGTCTTAATCCTTATTGTAATAGTAAATTAAAGAAATTTCATCACCATTTTAAACTATATGATATTGTTTTTAGGAGTTATTGACCAGTGCAACACGGAGTTGCGGGCAATAATAAAAAAGATATGGAAACGAACATCACCAAAACTGTTGGACCAGGTAGTGCCCCCGCCAGGAGACCCGAACGAGATAACGGTTGGCAAATTCTACGCAACCTTCCTCATACAGGATTACTTCAGACGGTAAATTTTTAACCAAAATTAATTTGAAAATAAATAAAATTAAAGAAGAAAATATTGACGTTCAGTAAATTTTCTACGTACTTCAAATAAAGAGGAATACGTAAGCTTTGATGTTAAAATTGATGTATCTTAAAATTAGCGCTGGCATGACTGATGACTCTCATACAGATTTTCTAAGTTTGCTTATAAAAGAGACTAATAAATATATTTTTTTAAATATCGTTAATATTTTTATGAGCAGAAAACTTCGCAAAATCTGTATAGCATAGTAGTTAGTTTCTGTTAAAGTTTCGTAATCATTCGTAATTTTTGAAATTAAACTATATAAAATCTAAGATTTTGTATACAATTTGTAACAACAATCGAAGAACAAACAAACTAGCGAATCTCTATATAAACCGCCATAAATATAGTCATTATTCATTCTACGTATTTAAAAACACTCCCGTTATCTGTTGATTTTGATTTAGGGACTCAATTTCCGAACTCACATGCACAGTAATTGTCCAATTACGTCTTGCCATAATTTTATGACTGCACGATGTTCAATTGCATAAAACTCCTTCAGACAACTTCGGAAGCCATTGGGCCTACGGTAATCTAACATTGATGCCATCCGACTAAAAAAATATGTGAATAACCAAAACACATGAACACGCCCGGACGTCTAAAGCTAAAGGCGTACAACATCGCAGTTAATCCATAAATAGTAGTTAATATTCGTTTATGATTTTTAGTCATAATTGTTTGTGTATATTGGTTTTTGTTACACGTTGTATAAGTAAAAATGTCGTAGATTAATTAAATAAATTTTTACTAATAAAATGTTCTATTTTATAGGAACCATGCGTAAGTTATTCTAATTATAAGCAACCGATAGCTGTAATTGAGCTTAATTATTGGTACCACAGGACAATGCCAATGCTTGAAAGATTTTCTTGGCCTTTGGGTCTCTCAATCATTTCTTTATTAATATGTAAGACATATTTTTGTTTCTCAATATACAATAGCTTTGCCATTAGCTGAAGTGCAGTGCAGTTTTTGCAGTTATACTTCTTTAGGCGCGTTATGAAAAATTGATGCGAGTGAAATTTTACGATGCGCGCGCACCGTTACACAAAATTAACAGAATGAAGTTAGTTCTAGGTGGCATGAAAATCGATAATAACTATGTTCAAGTTGTATATTCTAGTATTTTTATATTTAGAACACGTGTTTCGTAACAGTACAATTAAACAGTGTGAATAAATAAATATTATTTTGATTTTTTTATTAAATCAATTTCATATACGACGGTGATAGTATTTACTAATAATAATTTTATTGATTAATTTTAATATTTATCGTTAATCACTACTGCATTTTAGTTATTTTTTTCCATACGCCAAAGAAGTATAACTTCTAACGCGTGTACACACACTCTTTTTTTTATATGGTCGTAAGTTGTATGAAACAATTATTGTTATGTGCCGACACTTACTTTGGGTTTACAGGTACGTAAAGGCGAGGCGATGAGGACCTAGGATTTAAATATTTACTTTTTTAGCAAGAAATTATAAGCTAGAGCATGTAACATATATAGTCATATAGATGAAAGGAAATGATTGTTAGACCTTTTTTCCAGCTTATTCGCACTCTGATTTTAAATTTTTACAGCATGCTTTAAAGGTTCCCAAGCATGTTTTCTTTGTGTATCATTATCAGATATGCTTCTTCAGTTTGCACTTTTTGCTTTTCGCGTGGTTTAATGTTTTTGCATGAAGTTCACTTAAATTTGAATCTGCTTATATATATAAAAAATATACACACGAAAACATGTTTTTGGAACATATTTTTACGTGATTAAAGAATTTAAAAGGCATTAATAATAGTTATATCTTATTGTCCCAAGTAGTTTTATTAATTATTATAAAAAAGTCGGCCTACTGCGTCAGACCATACTAGGACTGTAAGAAAAATACTCTTTGTTTTAAAGGTTTATCTCTATAAATATAAAATTCTCGTGTCACAATGTTCGTTCCCATACTCCTCCGAAACGGCTCGACCGATTAGTATGAATTTTTTTATGCATATTCAGTAAGTCTGAGAATCGGCTACTATCTATCTTTCAAACCCCTAGGTGATAAGAGGAGTCCACCCCAATTTTTTTTTAATTTTTTAGATTTTTTTTTATGATACAGCATATTTTTATTGAACTAAAAAAATGTTTCCTAGAAATAATATACATGGCAAAACAACGTTTGCCGGGTCAGCAATATATTAATTGACCGTTTAACAACGTACCTTCCCATGTATGGAACGTTCCTTATGTTTATTTTGATAAAATATTTTACTGTTGTTGAAACGGTACTAAGAAGATAACTATTTCGCTTTTCGTTAATTATTACTGGTCATTTGAAGTCTTTGATTATTATATGTCCTGGGGACCAATCACAACCAAATCACGACATAGTTGTATCTTTACATTCTTATTCCTTGGGTCTGAGATGGTGCAAATATTTAGACAACCTAATAATATTTCGAAGTAATTTTATCTTTCTCATAATTTATGAAAGTTTTATTTATGCCTTTAAAATTGCATTAGTGCTTATCAGCTGATCTTCAGCTTTAAAATTCCTATTTCATATTAATAACACACCCAACAACAGATTCAGGAAACGAAAGGAGCAGGAAGCAGTCAAAAACAATCAGACAACTCTTCAAGCTGGTTTACGGAAAATGCATGAAGCTGGACCCGAACTGAAGCGGGCTATTTCTGGCAATCTTGATGACGTTGTTGGGGAAGTCGTTGAACCTATGCATAGAGTGAGTATAATATATTTAAATGATATTTAAAAAGCAAGCACTCGGAAAGTGACTGGTCGTCAACCATTTGAATCGCTTTTTGTTAAATACGATCAAGTGGAAGGAGCTGGTACTGGGGAGCTCCCGTCCAGAGCTGAGTTGTTTTCAGCTCTACTCCACGTGGGGCGGAATTTGCGCTTTCAACAGTTGCAAGCGATGGCTCGAAGTGAATTACCGACTGGCCTTGATGAGCTCACCAACCATCTTCGAAGATGCCGAACTAGCTAGAACTTTGGAAGGACAGGCTAAATTACCCTGGAGGCTAATGCCCTTCCAAATGACCGCGAAACTTAACGTCGATCAATATGTCAACGCCCAGTATTCTGATTGCTGGCTGTGGCTTTAAGGAGAGTGTCTTCGAAGAGAGGAGTAGTGACAAACTTATGTCTTCTTGGGTTTAAATTGACTAGATTCAGTCTAGCTATCACCGACATAGCAAAGGATATACCTACAACATACATCACATACACAAGTGCGATACTTCTCGTCTGTCAGAATTCCTACAGTTACGTTTATAAGTATTAGAATCATAAGTATTGTATAAGTATTGTAATCAGAAACGTTTACAGCGCCGTATACCGGTTAACAAAAGTTAAGGTAATTTGAGTAATAAAAACGTTTTTTTTTTTTGTTTTTTTTCAGAGAAATCACACACTATTCGGTGCTGTTTGGACAAGTATTAAGAAGGGCCGTGGAAGTTTTTATGGACCTCGAAAACCGTCTAAAGCTATGGTCAAATCTAAATCAATGAATGGTAAATATTTCATATTAGGTATCATTTATATGGTAGGACTTTTAGAAAATGTGATTGTTAAAATATTGTACTAGGTGATACAACAATCGTGATTTTTAATTAATTCAGGAAATCCAAACGCCGCTCTAAATACATAAATAACGAAAGCCTTTTAATATATATAACATTATAAACGCGAAAGTTTGTAAGTATGGATGGATATTTGTTACTCTTTCACGTAAAAACTACTGAATGAATTTTAATGATACTTTACAATAATATAGCTTATATATCAGAATAACACATAGGCTACAATTTATAATATATGTGTGAATCGTCTTAACTATCAAGTAAGTAGGAAAAAATCTACCATCTGGCTTGCGCTGCCAAAACCGCTAGAGTTACACACATGTAATGTATTATGGAAATGTTTATCTTAAAAAGACATACAAAAAAGCTCGCTACAGTATGTATCTATATCTTATGTGTAAGCCATTATATACAAAATATTAAACCATAACTACAATAAAAATTTATTTATTTTATTTTATTTCAAATACCCATTTGGTAGTAATAAAGTGATTCCTAATGAAAATAGATACTTTTATCGCTTGGTATTTAAAGTTGATAAAATATGACTTTCACGCTACATCATTTGGACAGATGTTATTACAATCCTGCGCAGACGAAGTCGCGGGCACCAGTTAGTACGATATATTGCGGGAGTTCCTGAAGACAAAAGTCCTAACGCACAGTTGTGCTAGTCGCGTACATAAAGCATTATAACTAAAAATTTAAATATATTACATGATATTTCTGCTTTAGGTGACAAAAACATATCCTTGGGTTTCATGATGCAAAGGGAGTTAGGAATGGACGGGAAAATTCCGGAAGAGGAAAAGTAAGTTTTCGTTGTAAAAAATTTAATTTTCATATAAGCTTTACCGCACGTAAAGAACAAGTCTAATATTATAAATCAACCCTTCTTATCTATGAGAAAACCAATTAAAACATGTTTCTAATGTAGATTTGACAACGGTTTTTATTATTTTTACAGTAAATATAATGATGATCAAAGTGAAAGCGATGAGGAGATCGCGATGCAACCTCTTTTACACGGAAAGGATTCGGAGAGGATTTTCAGAGTTATCGAGTAAGTTTTTAACTTATATAATAATGAAATTATACAGTTATTTAAAAAAACATATATGTACGTACGTTGGAAAAAATCAAACAGTGGAAATTCTATTTTGCATAATTTAATAGTAAGTAATCCTAAATGTTAATAGAAAAATACACGAAACCAAAATCTATTTTTACATGTAGCGCGCTATTTCTGTAGTCTATAGCAAATTTCAATTACTTATCTGTGGCCCTACCCTCTTCACGCTTCAATTCAGACGTAACATTTAGATTTAAATTATTATATTCATTCCCAATTAATAGGAATAGTTAAATAACTCTTATAATAATTACTAGCTAAGCTTAGCTAAGTTTTAAAAATCTTCATAATTAATATTATTTATTTTATTATATTTTCATTAAATTCAAACAAAATCTCGTAAATTAGTAATGTATTATTATCTATAGTAGAAAACATAAACATTGGTGTTGTTATAATGGTGTCGTAAAATCAATGCACATTAAAAATATACATACAATTATAATGTTTACAGAAAAACATCGAATGATTTAATGACAAGTATGAGATACAGTAAGTTATCGAAGGTTTTAGTGTGTTGTGATTGTGCCATACTAATTTTGCTGTTGTGATCTATTCTCCTACTTCTAAAGTACAGCTTTATAATTAGCGGTCTAAAGATGTTGGTTGAAAAAATCGTAACCAAACATTTGACGACATCTTGAGGGGATTAACTTACCTGATGTACTGTAGGAGTTTCCTCGGAGAAAAGATTTTTCGGTAAAATTTACAGCATGTAATAGTGCAATAATAATAGCTAGTGTGTGCGGAATGAGAACCACTGTTAGAGGACGCAGCAGTAATCACTTTACTTGACTTGATATGAAAAGTGAATGTTTGTAAATATAACAAGACGCGTGGTAAATACGAATTTTTGAAATATCTTTCGAACCGTTAGTTAAACGGCGCCGTTTAGTTAGTTGGCTGCGACATTCGCATAGCCATTGGTTCTCTTTCCGCAAAGGTTCTAGTGATGGTTTAGAAAAGGCATTAAAACACGAATTATAGTAAACATTGAGGGCAAAAAAAAATATGGGAATCAATTTCAATGTAGTTCTTTCAATACCTGTTGATGTCAAGAGATTGGAATTTGATTTGCTTTTGAAGCAGAGCAAGGTTAAAGTTCTCGAAGGATACTTAGGCAAGCTTCCGTATGTCAAAAACGTATTGGATTTTTACATACGAGAATCACAGTTCGCCCTAAAGGTAAGAATCTGAGTCGAGACTAACACTAAGTATGACTTCCGATCTTATAATAATAATAAATCGTTTATTTGCAAAGAAAGTGGCAAAGTGGTTTATTCGTAGGACTTAGGCATACGGAATTTGAAGTCTGGACTCTGAATTTTACCATTAGGGTTCATTTTGAAGCAATGGAATGCGACCAAAATTGTTAACAGCTACTTTTATAACTATCATTTTTTGTGTTTCATTGCATGTTTTGAAATTATAACATTATGTAAAAAATATTTCAAAAATAACAGCGCATGGGTATGTTTATTTGAACGCAAACGTATAATTAATAATATATTTTAACTTATAACGTTTAGGATGAATGACAATTTTATAGCGTTTAAAGCATTTTTTTGCGGATTCAATTTTATTTACTTTAATTCTAGATCGTGACAATATGCGACAGATAAACAAGGTGCCTTATTGTGTAGAGAAACCAGCGGAGAGTCTGATTGCTCGGGTAAGGTTCTATCCCAGAGAAGAAAGTAATATTAAATATGAGGTCGTCTTATCATACAACCTTATATATATCTCTTTGTGCAATACTATATAATAATGTTTTTAAATGAAATAGGACGAAGTCTTTGTATGTAAATGTGTGCTTAGAAGTTTGGATTTTTCTTAATTGGTTAATGCGCCATCTATCGGCATCCCGTTAAGCTACAACAACATTGCAGGTGCTAACGGATCAAGGATTGGGCAAATATTGTGACGCCGACTTTCTACAGAGCACTTCCCGCGAAATGCAGGAGGCGCTCGACCTCACACAAGAGGAGATGGACACGTAAGATTTTTTATCTTTTATTCTAGATGGCGTTCAATACAGTAACAGTATTTGTTAAAATCTATTTTGTATCCGACTAAATAGAAAAAAAGGTGGCTTTTATTATGGCTGTGATATTGTTAGTAGTGTGATTGTGTACGATATTTTAGGCTTCCAAACCGTTTGCTTTGGTTTTGAAAAAACATATGATACCGAAATAAAATTTTGTAAATCGATATAATTTTTTACAGCGCTGCAAATCAGCTTATTTTGAAAGAGCGCTTGATGGCTCAAACTTCTGAGAACACTGTGGTAAGATCATAATCTTTATATTAAGAAATCGTTAAGATTCTAGATTGTAGTTCTTAAGATACAAATGAAGCCTTAAAACAGAAGTTAATTTAAATATAGTATCTACTATTTTATTTTAATTAGCCTTTCAGTAGGTACCGTATCACAATAGTATGATTAATTATTGAAAGCTAAGCATTAAAGAAAAATAATTCTGGAATCATAGTCGATGTACTGAGTAGCTATAACGACGCCTTTTTAAATACTTAGTGTTATATTTATTCTATACCACGCGATCGCAAGTGTACGATATTAAAGAACTACTTACATTAAAGCTGAAAAGTTGAAAATTGGAGTAGGAATGGCGTATATGGTGGAAATGGTTTCAAGTTAGACATTATGTTTCAGGAAAACTTGTTATCTCGTCAGTACCATCCCTTCCACCAGCCCCCGATGCAGCCTCCGCGCAAGAAATAAGCAATTTTTATAAATTTTTGGTTTCATTTTCACCCATGTTGGTTGACAGCCACATGGGTTGTGTGCCATTTTGGCAAGTTCTGCGGAGCTTTGGAGTTTGGTCACGGAGTTTTGTAGTTTTAAAAGCGATAATGAGATTATGCTTACGGTATGTTAAAATATTGTTTATGTAAATAGTTTGTTTTTGAACGTCTTTCGAGTTATTTGAATTTGCTTTCAAACGTGTTTTTGTATATGAACTAGTTGAATATAAAATGTAATTTGGAGGGCACAAAAGGCTGATTCTGCCATTTGGAAAATTTACGCAGGAATGTGCCTTGAAATTTTTTTATTTACATGATATTTTTAGCAAATATTGTGCATATTAGTAATATACGCTTTTGGCATGATGAAGAAATATACTTGGCTATGTGCCTTATAAGTTGTAACCAAAGTAATATATATTTAAACTTATTCTACGAAAAGTAACATAAAAATATGTATATTAGAAGTTAAGTGCCAAAATATTGATAGTATAATTACCCAAAGCTTTTATTTCGTGTATTTATCTTTACGCGAATTATATTTTTGAAAACTTATGCTATGATTTATAAGGGTAAACAGTGTGCTTATCTATTTACTCAGTGTTGTAATTCATTTTGTACGAAATATATTGTAATTGTTAACCATAAAATAATTTTAAAAGACTTGTCTTTGATTTAGCTGCTGATCTAAAGACTATCGAAATCTATTTTTTCTATGTTTTATAAAAAAAAATACAGGTATTTTTAGGTATATTTATGAGTCAAAATCATCATTGCCCCTAACTCTTTTCATAATATTCTCCTCATCATTCCATAAAGCGGCAAAGGCTTTTGTAATTGAAGACAAAGAGTCCATAGATTTTGATGCTCCAAAATTGACTAAGAAATCTCTTTCAGATTTGAATCTATTTGATTGCTCTGCCAGAGGCCGATCGACATCAGAAAGTACTAATGGATACGCTTGACTTGACGCACCTTCATTGTCAATCGTTTCTGCCTCAAAATGCTCCTGTAATTTTTTTTCTTTATCTGTATTCACGTACATTTCGTCAATTTCTTCTTGAAGGCTTTTGATTAAATTTTCAAGATCAAAAATCTTACTATTAATATCGTCTATAGAGTTTTTTCTGGCCGATTTATTTGGGGATTCAATAGTCAGTCGCCTAGTTTCTTCACAATTACTATTAAGCTCTCGGCTAAATTTATCTATAAGGGAATCTACGCTGCAAAGCGTTGCTGTGTAATTCAAGAAGTTTTCCATTGTCACTCGTAGTATCTTTTGTATTTTTCTTTACAGGCCGCTAATCGTTCTCTTTTCTTCTGGACTTCGCAAGGATCAGGTGGCGGAGGAGGAGGTGGTTGTGGTGGTGGGGGCTGTTTCATACAAGGATGGGGTGGATCAGAATGAGCAGCTGTCAAATCTTCGATAGCATCACATCTGGATGTTCCAGTTTTTTCCCTATCCACGATACAAACAATAGCCTCTTCGGTTGTGGTGTATGGCGGATTTTTTATCTTTTCAATACATATAGCAAGGCAGGGTGCTATTGGTTCCGGAGGTTCGATAGGCTTTGGAGGACATATTTTAATGCCTGCTTTTTCTTTTTGTCTTATGCGTTGTAACTTACATGGATCAGGCGGGGGTGGTTCTGGTGTCGGCTCTATTGTACATTTCTTTGTTTTCATTATTTCAATTTTGGATACATTTTTGGAAGACAGTTTGATTTTTTCGGACAGCACTTGCCAATCAGATATTTTTCAAAAAAAAAAAAAAAAATATAAGCTGCCAGTTACAGTTACAACATTAGAGGTTATAACATCAATTTGTTGTGTTTTCGATAGTTTATTGGGGATATTATATAAGTATATAAACCTCGTTATTTATTTATAAAATTAAGTATACAGAAATGTATTATTTCCGGAAATTCTTAGAAAAGAGAAATATGTTATTTAATAATATTTTTTAATAACTAGACAATTTTGAAGGTGCATATAAAACATTGTTTAACTCTTGATCTCACTACCACCATTACTTTAATTGCCAATACTTTTTTCACTATCACTGTCATCCTGTTTATCATCTTTTTCTGGTGGGAGACTTGTTGCCGATTTATTTCTACGAAATATCGATTTTATTTTATTTTTTACTGAGGTCATCATACCACTATGTACTGGTGTTATTTCACTGTGGTTAGATGCTTCTTTCGGTGGTGATGGTGGAGGAGGTAGTATAGCCACTTGAGGAGGGGTAGGAGGTCTTGTAGGAACGTCATAAGGTGAACTCTTATCTTGTTTTGGCAACGTTACAATGTCAACTAAATTACCAAAATAGCTCCTCTCACCGAAGGAGGAGAACGAAGTTTCAACTGTATTTTTTATTTTCTCGTAAACTAAAGCTACTGGATGTCGAAATTCATGTATACTATGAGTACTTAAATTTGTATTGCTGGGAGGTTCAGTTTGGTTGTCATTTTCAAATGAACAGTTCGTAACAGAACATTTATTACTTTTTGATTTACCACTACATACTCTGGATGAACATTTTTCTCTTGACTGTGTCGTTTGATTTCCACAGCTGCTTGAAGATGGCATCCCAATTACTTCCCTTGTTTTGTTGTAAGCCCTACAGAAAAAATTGCTTACGTTATCTGTCATTTCCAGTACTGCTGCGCTCTTTTTTTCGATAAGTTCTTGAACGCTACTTTTCTTTTGTTCACAGAGTATGGAGCCTCTCTCTTTTATTTTTTTAAATGGATAATAGATTGTTTTATCGTTAGGGTTTTTCGATGGTATCATTCCAATAACAGTTTCACAATGACGTTGATCTCTTTTTATTTTTTTAACATGTTGTTTAACACATTTAGTTACGCAACCTTTTAATTTGCATTCATTGACCTCTTTCACTGTCTTATCACAAATATTAGGTTTATTTTTCTCCTTTTCACATACTGACAATGGTGGTGGACATTTTGGTCTTTCTACAGGCTTGGGATCAGTATTGCAACAACAACACGTACTGCCTCTTTCCAATGGTGGATCTTGACAACTGTATTCTTCTTTAGAGGATGCCTTAACAGATTCAAATGTTTCTTTGCAGTCAGATAAACTTCTTGTTCTTGCCACACAAGGTGAATTAGACTCTGATTTTGTTTGAAAATTAGATCTAACGTGAACAGAATCTTTATTTTCTACGTTGCCCGAATATTTTTTTGATAATAAATTTATTCCGTTGCACAAATACTCTTTACAATTTGTGTATTTTTCTGAAAGTACAGTTTTGATAAGTTGACACGAACTTTTCGATTCATTTAAGTTATCAGCCTTTAGGTCTGTATTGGTACCACATTTTAAAGACTTCTTGTCATCTATATTCTGACTTGGCGTTGATGAATTAGCCAGGGTTGCTTAAAAATCTGAGTCTCGAACTTGAAAATCTGATCCATAAAAATTATGAGTGCTTAATATTCATATTATTAATTCTGCAGGGCTATATGGATTCATAGTTTTATTATTTTTTACACCATAATATAATTTTTATTGTGCCTAATTGGCAAATCTATATAAAGTATTGACATATTGTGACATTGTCAAATTTTGGTGCCGTATGTAGGTACAAAGGAGTTCTGAATAAAGTTTCAATCATGTTTGCTAACCTGCTTTTAAAAATTACATTACATTACAAAAATTTACTGAAACCGAAAACGGGAAGTAGATACGCAAGAAATAAATAAAAATAATATTATATATAAACTCATATGCATTTATTTCGTACTGGTGCGTTTACCTTACAAATATACTTATTACAAATTAAACAAAACTATTACTTTAAGTATTAAGTGATCACTAAACGATATGCTTTAAGGAAAGCAACATCAAGAGTAACATAAAATAAATACAAAATACTTTGTTCAAGAATTGAGTAAAATACGATGTTTCTTGGGTTTTAAAAATCAAAAATTAATGAATAAAATTATTTAAAATTGATATAATTTTTTATTTTCCTAAATCAGATGATTATTTTTATTATTAGTTTACCCAAGAAACTTCACAATATCTTTGGCGATAAATTGCTTCAAAACTGTATTGCTGAATCTATACTTTGGTGTAACACTACACTGTATGCTTTTGAAAACAATATATACAGATTACATAACGGAAATTATCACTATTATATTACATTCAGTCGAATTATCGCTAGATAGAGCTTTTCTCAAAAATCATTACTTTCACTTTTAAATAATAATACGCTTTTATTTATATAATAAAAGATTTCTGTAATTTGTATCTTATGTAAAACATTTTACACTGACTTTTCAGACTGAATGTAAAAAGCTTATTATACCAATTATTATTTACACGGAAATAATAATAAATGAAAATGGACGGACGAAATAATATGTTAAAAACTAAAAGGAAACATTTAATCTCATTGTAATTTCAAGAAACTACATTACTTGACTCAATATATTAATTTGTTCAGTTTAAGCGATGTTTGTTTGGCTAAGAAATTTCTTTGAAATATTAAAAAAACTTTTATTGATATGAAATAATATAAAATATAGGTTTCCCTAGCCAATTTATAAAACACAGCAAATACTTAATAATATAACAATTATAAAATAAGTTAACTTATGAACAGTAACTTGTGCTAGACAGCATTGAAGACTTTGAGGTAAATAATAGTTAAAATTAAATGAAATTACATTTATTTTCATTTATTTACATTCGCAACGATAACTTTGGCTCTCATAGATAAACTAAAAATAATGAGTATATGTTAAATCTATAGACATTGAAAAGCAATTAGAAGCTACCACACTAATAAGAACAGTAGGGACTGACGAAAAACGAACGGTTTCATTCAAATCTTTTTGGAATCTAACCAGTTTGAATGTAGCATATTTTGCAAAAACTTGAAAACGATACACAAAAATGGTCCACACTAAATGGTACACACTTTCTTTTAAAAAAGACACATTAGACTTTATTATACCTTATTAGGTCTGATACGTGTGTCGTTGGTGTCACCATTATAATAATGAATTTCCGCATTTTTCATCATCTCAGCTGCTCCAATATGTGTTTAAATAATTAATAAACTAATAAAAATGAATTGTACACATTATTTGTCTATTTAAATGAGTTCTAAAGGAATGGATAAAGGTTTTAATTAACTAAAATTGTCACAATAACGTTAATTAGTGTCCATATCACTTTGTTTCGTTGTTGATCGCCGACAGCTACTGCTGGCACGGCGTCCGTTGATATCTGAAAATATAATCTCATAAATATCCTTCTTCTGATGCAACGAAATAAATATAGCGATACTGTAAACGTGTATCATGAGTTTTACAATATATTTGCTAATAAGTTTGCATTCTATATTAATAAAGCTTGTTGTAGTGCTTGAGTGTGTAAGGCTAGTAAGTGGGTCTCAACCCAAATTCCAGGATATTCATGAATGGATTTTCTCTATCATTTAATCTATGTACACATCATCGTGTGGAACGCAGCATTTCACGAGGTACAAATTAACACGTGTCAATACTTGACTATAAAAAAATGATTAAAGAAACAGACGGAAACCAGTGACCAAGGGCTGTAGAGCCTCTGTTTTATATGATTTTAATTTTATAAAAAAAGATTAATAATAAATAAAAACTAATATGTTAAAAATAGTTTTTGTTACATATTTTGGAAGTTATACCTCTTTTGGCGCGTTAGGGAAAAATGATGAGAGTAAATTTTTTCTATTCTAAGTGTCGTTTTTTCTACAAACGTAGCATAAGTTCTTGTTACGCCAAAGAAGTATAACTTCTAACGCGTGTACATAAGTACACACACCTTTTTTTTAACTTCGTAAATGCGTTTGAACAAAATCCAAAATGTCAGTATTTAAAAATAAATACATTTTTATTCGTAGAATCAGAGCCCGTTGGATCAACCAATAATTCACGGCCGACAAATAAATTCTCTTTCAAGCGAATAAGACCCTAAGTTGAAAACTTTAAAAGCAATAGAATCACTTAAATCGAGCGCTATAAGTTGCGAATCTCTGGAGACCCAGCCCTTTGTTAGGGTCCCCAGGGTGGGATAAGGGACTACGACAAATGTGCGAACGAATTGTTTTTTTTCTTTATGCTTGGATTGCGCTTTTTGATGTAATATTCCAATTAATTAATGTCAAAAGTGTTTTAGGGGTTAGGCCATTTCAATAGGTATAATATATCTTATTCTATTCGAGCAAAGTGTTTAATAAAAGCTATTTCATACAAAAATTATCTCTGCCCTCTCCTCACTAATTATTAGATATTGTCAGTGGAAAAAGCCTGCCTTGATCTCGATTTAGTGGTTAAGGTATGAAAGCGGAACAAAATTACTTTAGCATTCTATTATTATTATTAAAATGACACATTATTTCAACTTAATTTGAGTTAAACCAAGATCTATAGAATATAATCCTTCAAGATTTCATTTTACCTTGAGTTAATTATTATTTATTATTTAAATTCTCCATGTATGAAATGTTTGCTCCAAGTGTATTCGCTGATACAGTTTAAGAAATTAAATATTTCAAATTTAAATTAAACTTTTAAGGTTCATATAAAAATATTCGTAAAAAATAGCAATCAAGCGATAAATATCGTGTTAACGATCGGGAAAACCACGGGTGCGAACATACATCC